AAACCCTAAACCCTAAACGGGCAATGGATTCAGACTGATAGGAGTTCAAGGCCCAAGCTGTAGACGAAGTCTGCGGCCTCACTCATACAGCCATTAGTGATTGTATATAACCCCTATATACATCTATATATGGGTTATATGGGGTTTTTTTAGGGATAATGGAAAAGAGAATGGAAACTACCATATTATACAGGGTTGTATAGCGGTTTTATAGGGACAATGGAAAAGAAAATGGAAACTACAATTTAGGGCTTAGGGTTTCGGGTTAGGGGCAGTTTCACTTTACAACCTTTCAATAGTTACGAGGTACATCTCCGACACGAGGAACGCCAATGTACATAGGCTTAAGTCGCCCCAGCAACGTAACCTGAAGGCAGGGCTTCTGACTAAGTTTTGTTGCCGCAAAGCTCAGCACAAGAAGGATTGTAAACAGGATGTTCAGATATTCTAGTGTCAGACTTCAACTCCAGTACATGGAAAGGAAGCTTCTGCAACAAGGTTCGGTCTTCCTATCTCAGAATGACTGTCTGCCCTGACAGCTTCAACCCAAAGTGAGAGGTGCTGACGGCAGCGTGGAGAACTTCAAGCGCCGCCGTGCAACGGAGCTGAAGCACGGGCGCATTGCAGCTTGACTGCTGAAGATGCCGTCACTACAATATAGGGGCCTAAATGAATAGGGTTTAGGGTTTAGGGATAACTACCAATATTATGATTCCATGTTCCTTGTAGAATTCTGGTATATGATACCTCAAATGGACCCCAAAATGATATTGGTAATTATTTAGGCCCTTATATTACTCATGAGACTAACGAAGTTTTTTCCGCCCTATACAATTGCTTATCACTACCCATGAACCCCCAAGTAGGGTCAGATCTGAACTTGAGCGTCAATCAGCAGCCCATAATGGTTTCGAGATTGAAAGATAGCAGCACAACATGTAACACAACACAAGGCCACCACAACATCAAAAAGCGCAGGTTGAATCATCAGCAGCAGCTGCTGGACTAGCACTATCTAGCACTACTAGCATGTTTTTGCACGAGAATGATACAGATGATGGTTATCAGGCTCGCATGTTGAATTTAATTGTTGGCGTATGAGAATGGTGTTCATCATTTTCAGCGAAGGCCATGCTTGCGACTATGGGCTACATTACGCCGGAGCAACATGGATGCACCAAGCCTGTCTTGAGCCCGTTCCCAAGTAGGTGCAATTTCTTACTGGTTCTCAGTAGGTAATAAGGGAATACAATATCTAGGGATTGTATAGAGATTATATTCCCTTATTCCCTACTAAGAACTAGTGAGATTTTGCAAAATCTCCAGCGTGATAATCTGTGTACTCCCACCCATTGGTGTTCTCCAATCACAGGTCCCGCTTGATGAATCTGGAAGCGCCTGAACCCTCCAGATCCCGTGTCGGGAAAACTAACCTTAGTTTTGCTCTCGACCACCTAGCATACAAGTCAAGCATACCAATTGGTGTTGTTGGTATTGTGTATTATCACTGCTGCTGTTAGAGCTGGTCAGCTACTCCAGGTGTTTCTCATGCTTTTTTGGCTTTTGCGTGATTGTTGTTTTCCGTTTTGATTGTTGTTACGTTTGCTGTTGGCATCGGGTTAACTATTACCTGGAAGCAAGGAGTAGGACCACCGCCAACCTTGGATCTCAGATTCCGAGGATGCTAAGCCCACACGGATTCAGGCTTTGGGGTTCAGGCCCTTATCGTAGCAGCCCTGTAAAAGCTACTTTTTTTTAGCCCCGGTACCTGAACCCTGAAGATTCATCTCTCGAAGGATCACTGATAAGTTCCCAGGCTTGAAGTGGCTAAGTAATTGTTCGGAGACCACAAAAGCCTTAACCAAAGTAGCTCGTCTGCTAAGCCCTAGACCCTAAACCCTAAATCCTAAACCCTAACCCCTTTGAGGATCACTGGCAAGTTCCCTGGATACCTCTCGCCATCCGCTGGATTGAAGTTCGCCGACATCCCCAACGGTCTTGCGGCCATCTCCAAGGCGAGTGCAACCAGGGTAGGGTTTAAGGTTTTGGGCTAACTCCTTGAAGGGGGCTTATAGAGGGATTATATGGGGGCTATTATGGTGTTTGGTAATATGCCTGCCCAGCCCTCGTAACCTCTAAATCCGTCTATTATCCCTGTTTCCATTTCATTTTCCATTTCCTTTTCCGTGTAAGTTTCCATTAACTATTGAGCACTACATGTACATAACATCCCTAGAATGCTTAAATCCTAGGTGCTACGGTAGTTTTCATTTTCTTTCGCATGCATTCATATAACCACTATGTGACGCCTATCCTGGGTGTGCGTTTGCAGGTCCAAGATGTTGAGCTGCTTTTGCGGAGCTTTCGGATTGAGAAATAAGGGATCCACCACATGCGAACCCCACTCGGCTTAGGGTAGGGGGCTTTAGTTGGTAGCGGGCGCATAGGTCGCCCTGTGTTTTTTCATTTCTTAAAGGCTTTTGAATATTTTTTTCAAGTGTTGTTCGGCTGGGGCGTGGGGGAAGGGGATAAGAAAACGTCGCCCACATTGCGACCATGCCCAAGACGCTGGTATTTGAAGCATTTGCGTCTTTGTACAACATATTACACAAGGATGTGGAACAAGGAAAGCTGTCACAAGGGTCCATGCCTTGGGCGACAATGCCCAAAACACTGGTATTCACAGCGTTTTTGTTTCTCTACGGGTTGCGGATTGCAGATTCCGGGTTAACAAACACAATCTCAGATACCAAAACACAATGTAACAAAGAGTGAAATCTTCCCCTTAATGCAAAAGCTTCCTGGATGTCCAACTACCATGCTTTTCCTCCAATTCGCGCTAAAGCCCAGGTTTCGTGCCACTTTTACGTATAGAAAGCAACAGGCCGACCTATGCGCCTGCACCCTTTTAGTTACCCCAATCATGGAAAATCAATTGCAAACTGGAGTTGTATCGGGTTTTATAGTAGGGAAGAAGGGGATTTGGAGAACGCTAACCCGTAAAATTTGGACCCTACTATAGTGGCATGATCGATAGGGTCCTTGTTCTAGAGATTGGGGTAACTAAAATCAAGGGTTTAGGGTCAAGGGTCTAGTGAGGGACCTTGGACTTTGGAAGCGCTGCTGCGTGGTCTGTGGGTTCTCAAAAGGAGTTGCAACAGGTGGGCTGGCGCAGTACCCATGCAAGCCATGAAATCTGGCGAGCAAGACGATGCGCGAAGCATTTCTCGTTGGCAAACTTGGTGTTATTAAGGGACCCTTAGCAGTGGACATTGGAGTACCTCTTGTCATTGAGTATACACTCTAATACGGCACCCATGTCCATTGATGACATGTGGTAATATTGGTTGTAGCTCATATGGAACATTGAACAAACAGCAAAGCAAACAGGGTCACAAACCCAGCAAAGAGCAAGACACAAATTCAAATGAGTAGTATTGGATTTGGGGATACTATGGTACCCAATATAGAGAAGGATTCTATCCTTCTTTTGGGGTATAGTATTTTATATGAGGAATATAATCTTACTGGGCTTAACCACCAAAAAACGTTACACAAATGACAAGCCAGTGCTGGGACAAGCAAAGTTGGCACCGAGGTTTTTAAGGGTCCATTTGAGGGTTATATAAGGATAATGGAAAAGGGGAAACTTACTTAGCGTTTAGGGCTTAAGATTTTAGACAAAATCACCTGACATGTTGTCTTTAGATTGGAACTGGGCTTCAACAAGCTGTCAGCTGTTGGAGCAGGTCGACGGGCAGAGACCGCTTCAGCCGAAAGATGCCAAAGGATTTCATAAATTAGACTTCCCAGGGTATTTAGGGTTTAGGGTTTAGGGTTTAGGGTGGGGGTCTATATTCCCCATTATATTATAGTAGTTTCCATTTTCTTTTCCATTATCCCTATTTAACCCCTATTTAACCCCTTTAAAGGGACCCCTAAAACCTCCAGTCTTTTAGGCCCCGGGTAGTGAGTTGAAAGCTCCTGCATCTTCGCCAGGTTCCCCAGGCCGGATGGGGCCAGATCCTTTTGTACATGGCCTACTGCGAGGCAAGTGCCAGTTGTTCAGTTATGTTAGGGTTATATTGGAGATATGTAGGGGCTATGTAGGGGTTATATAGGATTATAGGGTATGTATATATATATATATGTATTTATATATCTATATGTTATATAGGGATATCGAAAAAGAAAATGGAAACTACGATTTAGGGTTTAGGGCTTAGGTGTGAGACTTGTTCAGCATAGTCCTTGACAAAATCCCTGAGGATGACCCCCCCTAATCCCCTTTAATTTGCACATATCACTAGGTTTGCAGGGGCCTCCTCGTAGCAAGTGTTCGCATACGTCAGGGGCCTCCATAAAGCAGGATTGTTTTATGGGTCTTTGGGATGTAAAGATTTTGGCGTTTCTTGGCGAAGGGGTCCAGCCATAAGGCCGTTCTTTTTATTGCCACTCGTTTTCGTTTGAGCTCCACATGGGCATCTGCTAAGATTATGGAGGGAGGAAATTGACCTACATTGCCGTTTGACGCATCGATGAATCCCGAACATGGATCGCTAGTGTTGTGCGCATGGCCTGTCCTGATGATGGCGGTGACGACTGCGATGACGATGGCGATGATGATAATACTGATGTTGCTGACCTTGACGAAGATGTCATTATCATTGCAGGAATGACTGCCACAAGAGATACGAATACCACCTTTCCAATGCGCCATTTCCACAGTTGTTGTGACAAGCTCATGAACGAACAGTGGCAAGTCCTTTTTATGGCTGTTTACTCCTCACTGGGCTCTCCACGATGTTGCTGCAGGGCTTTCAATTCTTTGAACTGGATTTTTCGGTACCACATCTTCACTGATATGAGATGAGACGGTAAGACTGAAGTGATAACTCAAGTGCTACACAGTGTTTGTGTTTGGGAAACGGCATCTAGAGCAAGTATCATTCCAGATGCCTGTGAAGCTAGTGGCGGCAGCATGTGCAATCACTTTCATGCGAAATGGCGTCTTCAGATTCTTCAGTCCTGAAGAGAAGACGAGCGCTCGTCTTTCTGTGTGGCCGTTCAACGCTACAGAATCTAACGAAATCAAACGTAGCATAAGGCTTCCCTGAGAGAGACAGGCTGCGATGGGGTAGAGGTAGCAGTTGCCCAAGTCCAAGAGCAAAACTTTCAGCTCTGAATTCAGGGACCTAAACGGTTCACAAGTTGTTTGTATAGCTCACAAGTAGTCTCCTGGTTCAATCCCAGACCCAGACTTTCGCTTTGCACGAGGAACCGGTTCACAAAATCTCATGAACGCTACCCGCCAACAATCGCTCAGATTACGAAGAACCTTGGGCTGACAAGAGACCTCCCACTGACAGACCTCAACCCAAGAGTGAAGACTCCCTAAACCGCAGGAGAAACACTCGAACAGGACATCCGCAGAGCAACATGCTAGCGAGACTATCTAGGTGTAGTGATTGCGGCAGCAATCACAAGCCTGGCAGTGAGAATAATGGAAGCCCAAGTAAAACAAAGCGGCTTTCATTCGATTAAAGTATCTAATCTACTTATTGGAGAGCAGACCTTTTGCACTTCAAGTTTGAGATGGCAGGCTTCCCAGACGCAAGAGCCGGGCACCGCGGCCTATGCGGGCGACTTCGGCTGGAAGGTGCTGACCTCCAGCGATCCCGCCGAGAAGACCAAGAAGCTGAATCTGGGATACCACTTTTAGGACTTGTGCATGCTTTGCAAGGAGTATCTGTGAATTCTACAATGGCCTGTTTTTTGGGGTTAAATACCGCCTGGATTCGCGACCAAAGGAGTGCTGAGTTGGCAAACGGTCGGTTGGCCATGATGGCTATCATCGGCATGTCGCCGGTCCGCCATACCAGCTTCGAGGTTGTTCCTGTTTGCCGGAAACTGATGGTAGCCTAACTCTGCATGTTGTCAAGGCCAGACTTCATATCGATAGATTAGCAATTCATGAGAAAGGTTTGGCTTTCATGCCAAGGTTCTTCCAGGACGGCCTCACAGGATCCGCTTGGGGTGACTGGGCCAACTACACCGCCTCGCCGCTCCGAGCCGAGCCCGTCTCCGCTGCTGCGGCGGCTGCTGCGGCAAAGGCAGCTGCGGCCAAGGCGGGTGCCAGCGCGGGTGCGAAGACCGTGGCCGCCACCACCGGTGTGGGCGCCGGCACCGGCAAGTCTTTGAGCGGCGAGGACGAAGATGTGCCCCCTCAGCCTAGCTTCGACCCTGCCAACGAGGTCGGTGTGACCGAGCCATTCGGCTACTTTGACCCGGCCGGCTTCTGCAAGAAGGGCGACCTGGCCGGCTTCCGGAACTTGCGCGCTGCCGAGATCAAGC